ATTTTAAGGACTTGAGGGTTTTTTTCATAATAATATTATTATGATAGTACCTATTAAGTGCTAGTTTCCAGCACTTGTTTTATACATTTAAACAAACTTTATTTATTTAGTTCTAAAAACTTTAATCCCAACTTTAAAAGGGGCTTTAATAGCCAATTAAGCAGGGTTACCGGTTTACTTGTAAATATTCCCAAAATAACTTTTATGTAGGGGCAGGGGGAAAATAGCTTCCTCCACCGGAAGAGGGAATTTTCACTTACACTTCCTTACTGACTTTGAGCCCCCTCACCTTTTATTGCCACCTGCTTAGACATTAACGCTCTATCAAGGCAAAATTTCTCCACCTGCTGCCAAAGAGAAAGCCCCCCCAAAAACAGTTTAGATAACCAGACGCATTGCTCACATCGATATTATTTATGCATGAGAAGTTCACAGCGAAGAAGGGAAAGGCATTTTCCACACACAACACTGTAAATTTAAACGAATGACGGCGGGCGATGTGAAGTGGATGGGATTTTCTTCATTTTCCCCCGCCTACCAATCACTGCAAGGATAATAATTGTTGTTGCCTACTTGGCACACAGTCACCCTGCTCCTGCCCCTGCCCCCTGCCACGCCCCTCCGCCTCTGTCATCCTCGGCTCTTGACTTTGGCTTCCTGTTTGAGCTTTTGTTTTTATTGCTTCATTTTCGATTATCGAGCAATGCACTTATCGCTGCTGAAGCGCTCGCCCATTGTCAACGTCTTCGATCTTTGTCAGTCGAAGGATAAGAGGTGGGCGGAAAAAGGCAGGGGGAGTGGCAAGTGAAGCTCAATCACGCTATTGTTGTTGTTGTTGTTTCGCCCGCCTCATCTGTCTCTGTAATTGTTGCTTGTTGATTTCAGTCGCGAGTGCTTTTCCTCCGGTCCTTTCATTCTCCCGATTTTATACTTATTTATCTAGATATATACAAAAATATATACATTTATAGCGAGCGGCACGCGAAGTCAGACATTTTCTGGCTGTCTAGGCCGAGTCCTTCGTTTCGTGCTCTCCTCCAAGGATTCAAGTGGCAAATGGCAACTTGGCCAGCGTGTCAAGCACTCCGTGCTGTCCTTCCACTCCGGCCATTGCACTTGTGCAGTTCGCGAACAGAGGGCCTTGTTTTGGCCAGCTAAAAGCGGAATGAACTTGAATGCAGAGTGCACAGCAACAAAAAATTTGACAATAAATAAAGTATGCTAAATATAAAAGAAAGCAGATTTACGAGTTTATAAAAATAGAAAGTTATCAATATTTTCTTCATGAGGGAAATACACTTAACATTTATTTTGTTTATAAAAGATACAGATTTAAATATTCTGAAATATATTATACCTATACTAGTGATTTAAGATAGTAAATATCTGTTGATACTGAAGATCTAAAGTCTAACCTCCCAAAACTCCAACAGTCTATAGCCTTCGTATCGAAAAATGCATATTACTTTCCTATACAAATTATACTTTTATTAATAAAGATTTATATGTTTTTGTCAAAGCGATTTTCGCTTAGAAAAATTAGATGAAATATTAAAAAAAAGAATGTGACTTTAACAATAATAATAATATTAATAATAAGAACAATAATTGTAATAAATATAGATTTATGTAATATTACTTTTTTAATATTAACTCTAAAAATTGGTAAACAATATTTGGGATGACTGAGGCCCCCAAGCTGTTAGCTAACACGCAAATCAACCAAATGAGTTAAGTAGTTTTCTGTCTTTGACTAATTTTTTTCATTTATTCTGACAAGCGAGGTCAATCCACCATTTAAGAGTTTTTCATTGTATATTGATTCGTTGACCATTTGGGATTTGCCTTCCCTTCGGCTATCGGTCATGCAGCATCGGCTTTTGTCCTTGTTTTAATCAGCACAGGACCATCCGACATGGGCCAGTTGGTGTGGCCTTTGATCAGATGGCAGATGGTAGATAGAGGTTTGCCCCCTGACTTCAAACCCGTGGCTGACAGGCCCGTGTGCCCATTTAGCAGCGTCATCCACTCACCAATTTTGTCACTAATTTAACTCTTCCGCTGCCACTTAGTCGCTTTTCACTGTAACTAACTAAGTCCCAATCTGGCGCTCCACCTCCGCCAACTTAACCAAAACCTAGCGAAACCTACCGAAACCTGGCCAAATGCAGAGCAACGTGTACCAATTGTGCAGTGGCAGCGGCAGTAGTAGTAGCGAAAAAGAGCAACAACGGCCGAAAATCGCAGATGGGGAAAAATCGTGGGCCTAGGAACGGGGGAAAACTCGGAAAACTGGCAGCAGAAGCGGTGGCGTTGAAAAATGTTCGGCTGGCATTGGCCGAAAAAGTTTTGTGCGCTCACACAAAATGCACGACAAATGCCAAAAGCTTCTGCTTGTCGAATGCAGGACTCAAAGCCAGTCGTCCTGGCAGCCTCACAGGATCCTTGCCCCTGCTCCCCTTCCCCTCGCCCCCCTATAACCCAACATATCCCATGTCTGTCCTGTTCGGTTTTAGTTCTTTTGTTTTAGTTAGGTCGAGCGCCATTTTCTAGCAATTTTTACTTTTTAATTGACATTTGTTTTGTTTATGTGTTGGTATTATGGAACTGCACATACACATATACAGTCGAAAATACGTGCAATGCCCTTTGTATTGGTGAGCACTTTACGACCGGCGGCAGACATTTTTGTAATTATAGCGCGAAATTGATTTGATTTTTGAGTTTAATAAGTATTGACAGGATTTTTAATGAAGTGGGCAGGCTCGTGTGTGTGTGATGCCACGCCCCCTCTTGTGGGCGAACGTGCCCAAGTAAGTGTTTGCATTTGTGGGCCGTGTGCACAAATCAGCCCAAAGTATGCCACATTAAAATGTAATTGAATAATTTTATGCAAAGCGCTTGTAAAAGTCATTGGCTCCATGAGAGTGTGGGTTTCGCCCCACAGGATTTTCATTCCATTGTTGGCGGCTATTAAACTGATGCTATCGCAAAATATTAAAGTGAGGAGAGAGTTATTTCCCCAAAGGAAAAACATTTGAAATATAAAATTTAATTTTTCAAGCTTGTTTCTCGTTTTTTATCTATTTTCTAATTGGCAATTTCAGTTCTCCGCGTAATTTGAATTATTCATTGGGAATTTAATTAATTTGTTTGCAAATACAGTGGAATACATAATGCAGGTAACATATTTAATTTGCATGTGTTTTTAGTAAACAAAAAGTACGAGTTTTCATTTGGAGACCCCAAAATTGTTACCTTTATAACCCCTTTTTTTACTAAACAGATAAAACCATTTTTATTTGTTTAATACTTTTATTGACGCAGCTATAATTGCAAGTTTCATGTGTATTCTCTCCTCTTTTCCAATTATTTAACAACATTTCAATTGAAGCACCATTAAGTAGCGTAAAATCACTAAAAGCAATAATACACATTTAAGAACCAATTTAAATATTTAATGTGAGTTTAAAATGTTCAAGTAGTGTTTGTTTGAGTCGGGGCTTCATTTAAATTATTCTCCCAGAGAGTTGGAGATATTTTATTCATAAATTGTTTAATTTAATTTTGGGGAAACGAAGCCCCAGTTGTGCTAGTTGTGTTTTTGGCTCGATCTAAGCCAATGTCCTGCGAGTCCTGCGAGGGACAGTGGGGAATGGTCAGCTGGCAGCCCGACATAAATTTGCAAATCGACAAATATGTCATGCTCAATACAATGCGGTGTTTGGGGGGCGTGTGTGTAGGTGGCATTGGTGTGTTTTTGATGGACAATGTTTGCTTATCGCTCCACAGGCTACGTCACTGACCCGAATGGGTTGTTCCAACCCCTTTACCCCCTTTGTCCTAAAACCCCCTTTTGGGGGCACGTGACTGACGCCTTGGTTCCAGTTTCCAATCCCAATCCCAGCCTTATTTCGGCCCAAAACCCACTGTCCTGTGCGCCTAAATGTATGCAAGATAGCATCTGTTTTCGTCGTGTTACCGACTTACACATGTAAGTCACTCATATTTGAGTGCGACAGTGTGTGTGCGTGTGTGCCTGTGTGTGACTAAGCGCCTACATTCATTACACATGTATGCGTATTAGGCGCAAATATTGAGGCTTTACTTAAACAGCATTAAGTCGAAATTAACATGTCTAAGCCAGGCCAAAAGGACCTTGGCAGGCGCATCCATGAATAGCAGATAGTTTGCCCACCTTTCCATTTCAGCCGAATTTCATCTATAAATTGTGAGTTCAAATAAGTGAAGCAAAGTCCACACAGATAAAAAGTAAAACCTACTATTTTTGGGCTTTACTCAAAAATAAAAAAAAAGCACCAAACGAAATTGTAAAAGTGGAAGAGCCAAGCTCAAGCTTTCTCCGCAGCGTCACAAAATAAATGGAAAAATAAACGCAATAAATAAATAAAATTTCACGTGTCCCACACGTTGTGTACTAAAAAATGTGCCAAAAATTTGAAGTTCAGCTGCTAAATACGAGTGACTCAAAGCTTCCCGATGACCCATTGAGTGAGCTTTGAAGAGAACTAAGATACAGGCATTCGGGGAGCACTCTCTTAAGTGGTGAAAAAGTGTGATAAGGACTCGTGTTTGAGCCACAGAGAATCTCTAGGAAATTGGAGTGATTAAACGAGGATAAGTTGGCAAAACTTAAGAGCAATTGTCGAGTGAGTTCAAGTCCGTAACATCCATTCTCTTACTTATTTTTGAGTTTATTAAAAAACGCTTTTCACAGTCTAAGAGCACTCGTCACATTTTTACTGAGTTTTAGTTAACATTTCAACTCAAAGAGTAAATTTTTAAATTGAGTGAGTTAATATTAAGTTTTCTGTTAAGCCGGGAGTGAAACTCAATTTACAGATATAAAACTGCGGAAATAATATAAAATACTATTTAGAAAAATTATTAAGAAACTCCAAGAATTAATCTATAATTGAAATGTCAATAATTGGTACATTTACACAAATGTTATCCATTAACACAAAACAATGATGTATTATTTACACACAAAACAATTTTCTATTTGAACAAAGCAAATACATCTCAGGTGTTTGTAAGTCTAATTAAATCATGGATTTTGGTAGTGCAAATTCAATCCTCCAGGGCGATAAGCTTTTGGAATTCGTTCAGGAACCATCTAAGCAAAACATGCATCAGATGAACATCGTGGCAAATGAACTGTAGAAATTCGGATAGCTTGTTGGCTAAAACCTGATTTGGGCTTCTCATGGCGTTATTATCCAACTGAAATAGACGTTTGTTTGTGATTAGACATTTGCCTAATAAGCTGAAATGTGTTCAGTACATGGAAGCCAACAATACATTGAAATTTCAGGCAATCAGAGTTTTGTATAATTTTTGCAAGCCTTAAAAAAGAATCTCTTAAAAAGTCTATAGGTTTTTATTTTTCTATTTTCTTTAAAAAATATAATTATTTCACAGAACTAGTTAGTTTCACAACTGAATGGATGCAATCAAAACAATTTACAATTACCGAAAACTGTGAATTTATTTTATACAATTCTCGCCCAGAGCATTAAATGCACAAAAGATTCAAACCAAGACTGAGGTTGTCTTTCGTGCAAGTTGGTATATTTATAAAAAGCGTTGCCCCTTTGGGCAATTCAGACTTTTACGAGCAGCTGCTACCTAGAAAATTGTCGTCAAAACGAATTGGTCTTAATTTTTCGAAGGTTGATGAGCAAAAACAACACTTGCAATTTGGTACTTCATACAAATTGACTAAACTGGGAGACCGCAAATTGCTAAAATATTTACACATATATCCGACATATTTAAGTCACCCTTTGGCCATCGATTATTTGCTGGCCAAAATGCGGAAAATGCCACAAATTCTTGAAATAAATGCGGTCGGCTCTGCGACGGCAGATATTCAGATAAATGGATTCCAGGGAACGTAACTGTTATAAGTTTTATTTTAAAAATCACACTTTAACAGTTATTTTCTGATTTGTAAAGTAAAACTCAAAGAATAACTGTTATTTTTTGAGTTTTATAATAAAAGTTGACAAATAACAGTTATTCGTCGTGATCAAAAATAAAACTCAAACTTGATTTATGGCGATTTTGTGGGTAAACAAAATTTTAAAAAAATATAGGTATAAAATATGTGCGGTTGCCTTTTTTAACAAATTTTTAGTAAGTTATAAAAAGCACGGGTATCATGTTTTTTTTAATTATTTCATTTTTTCAAAAATGTCAAGGGAATAACTGTTATTCATAAAAATCAAAAAATAACAGTTATTTTTTGAGTTTTATTATAAAAATCAAAAAATAAAAATCATTACGGATTTGTAAACTACAATGGCTAATAAAAATTGTGGTGTATATAAAAAATTTTTTGGACCCTTCTAAGTGCGTGATTTTTTTGTATGAAAAATTTACAATAACAGTTATTTTCGTTCCCTGATGGATTCAGATAAGACGCATATTCTCTGCCGTCACGGCTCCGGTGCCCAAGTAAAAGTCATTAATAATTCATAAAAATAAATTTTACAATAAAATTCAATTGATTGTGTAAATATTTTCGTTTACCGCAGAGGCCAAAAAGAGAGGGGGACGTAAAGTGGCAAGGCAACTGTTTCGCGACCCAATTCGTTTTTCCGATATGGGGAAACGAGAAAGTGGCTTCGCTTGCTTTTTGATGCTCTGACGGGTTGTGATAAATGTCCTGATCCCAATCGACTCCTGTGGCCTGCGTACACCTGTGCGTATGAAAATACACCAGATAAAAGTGAATCTCGTTGTACCTAACCACGCTATAAAAAGGCTAAGAAAAAATATATATATTAATATTTTGGCTAACTTTTTAAACATAAATCAAAAAACCCGAAATATTCTAAATATTTTTATATCAGCCATAATAATTTTGGGATATCAAAATAATGTATATTTGTTACTGAGCATAATTTTATTTCAGAGACTCCCACAGTTTATTTTCAATATTACAACTTTCCATTTCTTGTAGACTTTTAATTGGGGCACTGAATATTAAAAGGTTCCGGTAAAGAATCAATAAGAAAACAATTGAATACCCGCTGCTTTACCTAAAAATTGCATAAATAATGTATATGTAAATATATACTGCATATCTGTAACTACGATATGCTCGTGGATAGAAACAACAAAGTTGTAAAAACAAATCTCTGCCTATCCGCACTAACAACAAAACCGAGGAAAAACATTTATACACCGAGCCAGGCCGCAGGTTAAATGTATGCAAATATAAACAGCGTGTGAAAGATATGGCCAAAGGGGACAAGGTGGGCGGGGCCGGGGGGCGGTGGATGGAAAGCGTTGGGTGTATACCACCTTACTTGTAACCGCCTTGAGCGGTACTTATGCCAATGTTCTCGCTCTCTGCAAGTGCTTGCCTCAAGTGCCTACTCCACTTCATTGTTACACTTGCCATTCCATCCTCTATGTGTGTGTCTTAGCGCGGGGTATGATGGATATGATGGGATACTTAGATAGGGGAAAGGTCCTTCACAAAAGTTTCACGGTAGATACCATATCTGGAAATAATAATCTGACCCGGTTTGATCGGAATAGGGTCAGAGCTTGAAAGTATACTTATAAAAAGTTTTAAGTACCTGCGATTTGTTTATGTGGTTTAAAGGAGCGAAGTCGCGTAACTTATCAAATTAAACAATAAAAAAGGATATACACAATTATAATACAAACTTAGAGTATGGTAAATAATCTTAATCATTAGTCGAATTTAAATAAAGTATTTATTTTATAATAGTTTAGATCTATCAATGAGAAATCCTCGGCGTAACCCGCAAGTAAAAAAAGAAAGCACAGCTGCTTACTTAGAACATTTGCCGCATGTCCTCAAGCTGATTAGTGTATGCCATGGCATTTTGATTGCCTGCCTTGGTAGCTTGTTCCTGGGACACCTGTTGTTGCAGGACCTTTTTTTTCGTCCTTTCTGACTTTGCTTCTGGCCCTCGCTTAAGAAGGCAGGGCCAATCGAGCGCGTAGCGCAATAAATTAAATAAAAACAATTGGTAGAAGCTGGGAAATTATTAAAAAAAAACAAAACCATGGGAATTCGTGAGATCCGATCCAATCCGGCAAACTCAATTCATTTGGTATGCATGACTTATGGCCGCCGACGATGATTTGGTTTTAGAAATTTAATTAGCGTTAAAATACCGTGGGTAAAAGTTATCGGCAGTCGCGGTACGACAAACGTCGCGTATAAATCGTAAACTTTTTAGGGTCGCATTTATTTACTTTGGCAGGCCGGAGCACTTAGATGGCAGGAAAGCGCAGCAGCCATCACAAATTAGTCCATAAAAGTTATGAGTTTATAAACGTGAGCCGTTAAATTGAAATCGGTCTGAGCGAAATGAATATTTTATTCCATCGAAACAAAGCAAACCGAAATCAGTCGGACGAAAAAAATGGGATATCAATTAAAAGAGGCAAAAGGTTTTGACCGCTTGCTGGCGGAAAATTGTTTTTAAAACAAAAAGTTGGTTTTTGTGACAATCACGCGAAGTGGATTTAACAATTTGTATAAAAATACACATTTAATAAAGATTTAAGTTGACAGCGAATGGATTGAATTGATGGCATAAAATGAATATTTTTATTTACATTGATAGATCTGACCATGTGATAAAACATTGTTGAAAGCTGAATTATACAGTTGAGACAGCAAATATACTAAAACAATGTGGTCAGCCAGAAGAAGTGAAATAATTTCATAATATTAATTAGCACGAAGGTAAACCAATTAGTTTTTTATTTATTGCTTAAAAGGAATTAAGTCTAATCCACCAAGCTCATTAAATATTTGAGATATTTCAATCACTAAGCAGATTGGCATTCCGTTTGGCCAGCTTCGTTTGTCATTAATCAACACCTTTTTGCCAGCTGGCGAAACACCTTTATCCCACTCTCGGGCAAAGTTGACATTCTATTAGTCAGGGCAAAAAACCAAACCAAAGTCGGAAACTACAAATGGAAAATTCCTGCCGCTCATTTGCATAAAGCGACCATAAAACAAAACCTCGACAAAAATCGAAGAAGAAAAAAAGGGAAAGTACCGAAAAAAAACAGGGGAACCGCAGTGAGAACTTCATTTATCAAGTGTGCAGAATCTAGCGAGCCTCTCGAACACATTAAATGATAAATTGCCTGGAACCAACCACGGACCACATGTCGTATGATTGACGTGTGCACTAATGCCCAGCCTCGGCTTATATGTCCTTGTCCCCCGATTTCCATCTTCCAGATCTCCGTATCTCCACTTTCTGCATAACTATGCAAAATCGCAGCCAAACTATTTATAATATTTTAAGCCCTGCACATGCCCTTCGCCCTGCCAGCCTCTCCATCAATCTCCCCGCCTCGTACTCTCATATTAGTTATGCAGGCGGGGCTGCGTTGATGAGAAAATGCAAATTAGTTACCAACTTTGCCACAGCCCGCTACTCATGGAGTAAATAGCAAAAAAGTGCAAAAAAAATAGAGGCCAACTGGAAATGGGGCGGTTCGAGTTTGCATCACCTGCTCTTCGTGGGATCCTCGGCTGCTCTTCTGCTCTTCATCAGTGTCACAGACAGCCGAAAAAGTATGCAAACATTTTTCGCACTTTATAATTAAACAACTCAAAAGACAAAGAAGACTTAAAGGCGTTGCCGTCGCCCCTCCCTTCGTCCTGAAGTCCCGAAGTCCTTTTTCCCTCCCTCTGTTAACCAAGACTGGCAACATTTGCACTGTAATGAACTTTTGCAATAAACTGCGCCGCAATTTTTCGCTGACAAAGTTTGGCCCTCTCCACCCAACATCATTTCGCATGGACACAGGAGAAGGAGCTCGAGAGCTCGAGCTCGAGATCTCGGTGAAAGTGCGGGAGAAAGCGGGCCGGGCGGAAGTGGGGCCACCATTTTGTGCCTTTTGCTTATTTGTTTTGTTGCGTCTCTTATTTCCGGATAGCTGCGCATTTTTATTGCGCTCAAAAAGTATATGCAAGTTCAAATGTCAAACTACTTAAAAACTTATTGTTAGCAAAAGTACAGCAAACGGCAGGACTAGACAAAACTACTCGGGGGAGTGAGTGGGAATGCTCCAGGGATTCAGATTTCTACATCGAATGTGGATTCCCCTAATAAAAGTTAAGAAAACTGTCCCAAAAAAAATAATATATTAAAATAAATCAATGCCATTTGCTAAAATATTCCAAAATTATATGTATTTAGCTATTAAAAATAATTATAATTTATTTCAAATGCAAAATACTGGAGATTTCCTTATTATAACCATTTTTAACCCCCAAACAACCATCTACTCCATTCGCAAGCTCTCTTTCAAGCAATCTTCCAAAGAAGTCAAGCGGATCGCGACGAGTTTTTTGGGCAAATTGCAAAGCCGGCAACGAAAGTCAAACATTTTCAATAAAACTGCACAAATTATTTGTCATCTGTGAGCGTCTCTGTGGGCTGGGGATGAGATGGGGGCCTTTCGAAAATCCACTTCACAGGGTGAGAGAACAGAGGACGGAAGATAACCGCACCACGTAGCTCT